AACTGTATCCCTTTAAAATAATGGACAAGTTGCATCAGTCCGCTCATCGGAGTGCTTAACTATACGCACTACAGTCTGGGGGCCCTGAGGTGATGTATCTGTAGAGAAAAGTTTACATATTTTTTGCAGTTACTGTCATTCGCGCCCTTTCATTTTTTTAACTGTTAAAAACACCAAAAATGTCGCGTCTGGACGTCTTCCTTTCCAGAAACGGGATTCCCTGCGAATCAAGGGGTTCACACCCTTCAGTGCTGCTCACCCCGCAGGTGTCTCTGTCTTGATTGGGTGGATAACTGATCGTTTTATATGTTTGTACATTTTAATGACTCTAATATATATATATAGTTAGCTAGTTTGGTTACGATAGGGTGAAGAGTTTGGAAATGTTGCCTTGCAGCGCAGTAGGCCTTGATTCATCCAGTGGGCTGGGCCTGCGCATAGCCCTGTTTTTGCAGCTGCTTAGTCAACACGTTTGACCAGTGATGTAATGTGAGCAGGTGCAGTCCGAGGACTGCTCACAGCACATAAACAGGTGCCTTTACTTCTAAAAATTGAAAGAGCAATCACGCTGCTGGGGGCTTGCTTCCCCACAGCGTGACGCACAGCGTCTTGTGTTACTGCTTGTACAGTTGGGTGATTAATAATATTGGTGTCTCAGTAATTGCTAGACTTGGTTTTAAATTTTATGTCTGTGCAGGCCTGATGATCAGTGAATTGGACAGACAGCCATTTCAATGTTCTGCGTCCGAAAGTAAATTGTTTGCACTTTGGTTTTGTTTTTACATAGCTAATGGATCCCTTTGTTTGGCTGTTATTTTAAAAAAACCTCTGTATTATTTCTAGTTTTTAATAATTGTGTGCTGTGGTTTTTTCAGCGTTTTGTAAACACTGAACGTTCCTATTGATTTTTTTTTTTTAAATGTTCGTTCCTGTCCGAAATAGGTCAACCCCGAAACCACAAGTTGTTTTCCGCCTGCTCCCAGACAGTCACGCACTGCGCAGCCGCAGCAACAGCTGCGCAGCTGCAGAGGTGAGCGCGCAGAATGTTTTCCCAGAATTCAAAGGCGCGAAGCAGCTCACACCGACAGCTGTGAAACTGACGTGTTTTTAATTTCCAGTTTTGATATCGGAACCAGGCAGCACAGAGAGGAAGGAGGGGAAACCAAAGAAAACCACAGTGGTCTTGCGCAGGAAAAATACTGCCTGTCTGCAGAAAAGGTTAAACATGTTGAACTGAGCTCCATATTAAATGGTGGGATTTGTATGAACACTGCAATCTTCTATTTTTATATCAGACACAGAATTATAAACTTTGGTGTATGACAAATGATGCCATTATGTTGTAAGCGAATTTATAATTTTAGTATTACTGCACTGCTATTGAATTGCTAAATGTTTTCTATTTTTTGACAGCCTTCCAAGATTTCCTTAAAAATCCGAGTTTAAATGCCCTAATCTTTGCTGAAATGTAAGTAAAAGAACATTTGAAATCTGAAGATAGTCTTTTATTTGCAGAGTGTGCATGAAATGTTTTATTTGGGTCTCTTTGTATAGGAGGCATATTGTATAATCAGTTTAGACACTTCATCACGGGACCTCCTAAAACTGTCAGCTGAACTGTTTGAGTTGAAATGTAAAAAAATATTTGAAAAGGAGAGAGACCTTGATGATGTTTTGTATCGGTATCTTCTGCACTGCTGGGTTGCTACTTCACCTCCTGACTCAGAGTCAGTGTATGTTTCCGACAGGCCACAGTGCGAGCTGTACCATCAGACGGGTTTCTGATGCAATTTGTTATGTGTGTGTGTTTGCTTGGTTCAGCAGATGTGAAAAAAAAGTTACACTGTAATGAACCTTGTGACTTTATTTTTTGCTTACAAGTCAGGGAGAAAGTAGAATCATTCTCTACTGCCAGAAGAAAAGGAACTGTTTTGTCTCTGTACGTCTGGATAACGGTGATCTAGATATCTTTACCCAGGATGTGCATTGAAGAATACTCCCATCGGACTAGGCTTTAAGATGTTTTTCAGGTTAGAGCAAAATCCAGTGGGAATTCAAGCTACCCGAGCAAAACACAAATAATGAGGCTTTAATCTTTTTACCTCCTTTCTTCCGACTCTTTCAATGAGCACCTCATTACAAAACCAAGAACAGGGAAGTCCGCTGCATCCCACTAATCAAGGACAGGAAGAGGCGTCGTGTGGACACCCCGATCCTCTCTCGGAGAGGAGCTCTGTACGGGCTCGGGGGGCCGGGGCACAGAAAACACAGGGGTGTGTTTCAGAGGCTGCACTGCGGGAAGTCTGCTCCTGCACCGGTGCTCTCCCTCTTCAACCAAGGGGATCGTGCCAGGGTTTCGGATCCTTCTCCTTCCTAACTGGACTCGACCTGCAATGCATTTATCTTTTTTTATACCGTAAGAGTTGCCTGCAAAAACATCTTCTCTCACTTTAGATTATGAAGATTGATGCGAGACAAAAAAAAAATGGAAATGCTGAAAAACCTCTCTTCCCCTCAGCTGAGCAGCAGCAGCTCCCCGACGCTCAGTTAACTTCCACTTTTGATTTCGAAACCAAACCAAGGAGAAACAGAAGAGGGAAACTTGACAGTTTGTAGCTCAAGCGACAGGCCACAGTGCTGGTGTGAATGGGCTGTGACCACAAAAGTTCTAAAAGCTTGTGTGTTGCTCTCTCCTATCGCCATGAAGGTGCAGTATCTGGCACTACCAACATCTGGATGTATTACGTCTCCCGGTACAGCACTGTTGAAAACTGAAACTCTCCTCTCCAGCTGTGGTGGTCATTTGTAAATATTGTTTGCTGGTCATGCAGTTGAAGTTGGAAGATCAGGCCTCCTGTTCCTGTTTTCAATTTCCCAGGCTCTTGCTGATAAGATATAATCAGCCGCCTTGCTCCCCAGTCGTTCAGTGTGTTCCAACTCCCTGCCTACATTCACAAAAGCGCACGGATCCGTTAACGCTCGTCCTGTGGCTCAGACTGGCCTTGTGTGTCCAGCGGTCATCTGATCTCCAGCTCGTGGGTCTGGGGCTGGAGTCCAGGGAGAGCCCAGTCCCTGTCGGGTCCTGTTTCCATGGCGGCCGTGAGCAGTTGGCCCTGTCCGAGGTCCGGTCTGTGGACGGGAGCCTTGTGCGTCATCGGGTCTGGGTTTTTTCTCTAGGTGCCGCCTTTAAACTCTGTGGGAGGAACTCATATGGATCAAAATAATCTACAATCAATTACACAGGCGCCGCAGTGAAGATTGTAGTGATTTTTCTTATTTATTGGTCAGTTTTCTGTGGTGGGGAGTTTGCCCCCTTGTGCCTGCTGTGGAAAGGGAGCGGGATGTGTTAACACACACACACACGCACACGCGCGCAAAAACACACCAACCGTCCTCGAGTGAGGCTTTTCAACAGGCAAGACTGAGTCTCTGGCATCCTGCCAGGCCAAAAGCCCTTCAGAAGCCTGTCTTGTGATGGCTGAGAGCGCTCTCAGATGTGATGTCTCTCCGAGCCACAGAGCCACAGAGCCACGCTTCCATGTTCACCACAACAGCCTCCTCTGTGCTGCGCCAAGACTCCGACCTCTTCGCACTGAAACCTAAGCCCAGTCCTTCTGTCTCCTCGGAAACACAACCTCCAGGGCAGAGCCCCCGGCCTGGGGCACTACAGTTCAGCTGTGGTTGCTGTTGACGCGACTCGTTTACTTGTGTGCTCATCCCTTTATGTGTTCGTCGCCGTGTATTCATGTTGTACCTGCAGCCTGCCTCCTGCTCGCTGTCGCTCTGAGGCTCTGTGCATTAGCCTGAGTGCCATGAGCCCAGCCTGCCACAAGTCCAGTGGGTCTGAACTCCTCCATCTCACGTGAGAGTCACACCTCTTGTTTGCCAAGAAGAATGAAGGTCGTGCAGCTTTTTTTAAGGGGCCTCATTCCCTCCCAGGACCACAGGAAGAGCCTTTGAACTGCCATAAACTCATCAGAGCTCTCTTGTGTGGTGTGAGCGGAAAAATGTAAACAGCTATTTCTGTCACTGAGAACAAAGACTGGTTTAATTGAGCACAAACACAGTAAGACACTGAGGTCCTCAGGGACACCGTTTGAAGATCCCAGCTCAGACTGTGAGCAAATAATTTAAAAGCCAAGTGGGTAGAGGAAGAAAGGGGTGTGAAACAGCTCCTTTTAGGGATTGTCTTTTTTTTACATGTTTTTTTTAATGTGATTTGGAATTCAGTATCTGTATCAAGGATCTGGAACGTCACAATTAAGTTTCCTTCGTGGTCGCTCTTGATCCAGTCCGTAGAGCTTCAGTCTGCTGGACCTGTCTTTCCTGCTCTCCGCTGAGTGAGAGGGTAGGGTCCCGGCGGGGCCCAGGGGAGGCCAGGATGGGTAATGGTCCCGTATCTGTGGCGCGGTGAGCCTCTCGTGTGCAAGTATTTAACATGCGCTTGTTCTCCAACACACAAGGCCAGCCGTTCTGAATCGGCCTGAAGGAGGAGGGACGGGTGTGTGGGTTCACATTGGAGCACCCTGCCCAGTAACTCTGCCTTTTTAGTCTAGACTCACAGATGCAACTGTGGGCACCCTGGCATCTTTTCGTGTTAAAAAACAAAGTTAGAAGACGGTATTTTTGTGATGTACAGGGGTTTTCTATCTTGATGGATGTAAATGATATATAGATTTAAGCCAACAAAAGCAGGGCGTTTCAGCAAGAAAGACCAATCAATGAAGGTCTTCATTAAAAATGTGTTTATTCAGGGGATATGTGATTTATTATGTGCTGTACTCACCGTACAGCGGCTCCCCAGAGGAGCTGCAGAGTCTGAGTGATCGAAGCGCTGCTGTGGGCGAGCTCGTCTGCAGCCAAGATGTCAAGCTATTGATTCACAAGCTTGCAGGGAGGCAGGCTTCGTTTGGTTAATGGCGAAATGATCATATTGTTCGTGCTGGTGCATCGACTCCTTATTCTTCTTGTGATCCATTTCAAATTGGTGTTTCGTCCCCGCTGTAGTGCAGTAAACAGGCTGCGTGGTTCTTGTCACGGCCGTGCGCGGGGAGTTGAGATCCGCCTCAGGGCCGCACGGTTCACGTGCACAGGGTGCGTCTCACTCGGAAGATGTCAAGCGACTTTCTGAGCAGACGGTACTGGTCACCCTGAGACGGGGATGAAAATGAAAATGTTCCCTCGGTGCTGGAGTCGCACGGGTGAGGTGGGAGGGGAGTGTCGCTGGGCTCTGTCTTCAGCGCGGCCGAGGTACCGAGCGAGACGGACTCCTTCAGGGCCGTTAATTACTTTCATTTTGTAACTTCATGCCCAGTCTTGACTGTTTCTTAGTCTTAAATATGAGCTCTGTCCTTGAATTTCTGACACATTGAGTGACAATGGATTATAGGTCCTGTTAAACAGGATGTGTTATGCTACCCTGAAACTTTTTTTTTAATCCGTCACATTCCGAACTTAATTGTGCAAGAATTCCTTTCTTTTCTAAAAAAAATTGGAATTGCTGATTATTTACTTATAGTGTCCGAGATTGGAATCCCCGCGTGTTAATGAGCAGAACGCACTGGTGCAGCACCTGCACAGCACAAGTAACGATCTGCTAATGAGTGCTTTTAAAACTGGGAACAGGGGGCACTTTGTTTACATAACAGTAAAGTCTATGCATTACTTCTGTCTGACACTTGTAGTGTGCGATAGTGTCCACCGGGGGGCACCAGAGACTTTCTAACCGGTTGACTGTCTCAGGAGTTGTGGGGTTTTGTGATAGTTTTGTTTATCCAGGAATGCCTTGGGAAAGCTGAAGCTGTGGAGTCATCATGGTAAGAGCCTGTTTCATGTTTGTGTCATGGAATTGTACTTTTATTATGATTACACATCTTTATTGTAGTACACTGATTAACAGATTATAGCGAAAAAAATATATTGTTTATTCATAAGGAGTCCATCTGCTTAACAGCAGATATTTTCCCTTTCCGGCAGTGTGTTCCGTTGGTCTCGCTGGGCCGTGTTTGTGGGAGCGTTTCTGTGATGTGATTTGAAATGTCCTGGATCAGCGCTGATGTCAAAGCGCCGTGTTGAATTGTGCTTCATCTCTCAACCTGCAGCTGCAGAATTACTCTGCAATGAGGTTCATGAGAAAAACAAAGAGCAGAGTTCTCCAGTGGTTGACACCACCAGTACAAATACATTAATCATAATATAGTATACATATAACTCTGGGAGAAATATTTATCAACTATAAAATTCCAGATCTCTGATGTTTCTTTACTTCATGTTTAATGTCCTCTTGCTATTCATTAGGTCCTGACCACGGAGAGCGCCACCTACAGGTCCATCAACACTATTTACAGCAGCCACCGAGCTTTCCTGAGCACTGGCTAGTCAATAATTGTCTGAGCTGTGTGTCACTGTTCAGGCACATTTGTGGGCAGCGCCGACAGTAATTATTACTGCCGATCATGGCAAACTCTGATACAGTGTCCAAAGTGCACCCGAAGCACAAATTGATTTTTTTCCTGAGAGCTACGGCGAGACAATGGCAGGTGCAAACATCTTGGAAAACCCCGATCTCAGGAAAGGGGTGAGTCGGCTGGATTCATTAGCGCTCCGAGTTTGTTTTTTAGATTTGGAATTACTCCTGCTAGCAGGAGTGACGGGAGAGGATGTACATGGATTCAGCACCAGGACAGACTGGTGCTGTAACCTGCCGTTAGGATCATGCATAAGGTTCTTAATTGAATTTTGCACATGCAAATAATGTTGAAGTTAAGTATAAATGTGTGAATGGTTATATTACCATTATATAATGGATATATTACCATTATATTATATTGTAATATTAATTAATATTACATATGTGTATATTAATGGAAATCCTGAAGAAGGGGAAAAATGATCAATTCTTGGTGGAAGCACGAATCTCTTGGTACCAAACCGATGAGGCCACCACTGTCCACAGACTCGCAGACTGTTTAAAACGAAACGCCAGCTGCAGTGGGATTGTATTTTACAATTTGATTTCAATTTGCACTGCTCCTGGTGAATGGAGAGCCTCGATGAGCGCTGCCAGGGCTGGGACTTTGCTCTCTCGGTTTTGCATGTTTCACCTTAAAAACAGAACACTGATGTGTTACGGCGCCTTATAATGCTTTCCTGAGCTTGCGGGGGCTATGTAAGTCCTGTGGGTTGCATCTGAACTTGTTAGTTATTTGCGGAGGGGCTCGGAGCGAGCCGGAGGACTCAGCACTTTGCTTCCCCTCTCTGCTCTAGAAGCTGACTCCGGTCCTGGCCTTGGCTACCCTCATCTCGGCGTTTGGGTCCTCTTTCCAGTATGGCTACAACATCGCGGTGGTGAACTCGCCGGCCCCGGTACAGCGCCGTCCCTCCCCGACGTGGCGATAAACGGGCTTTCAGCATCTTCGTGCAGACAGGGGCTGTAGGGGCTGAAGCCTGGCAGTAGTTAGGAGGCTGGAGTGCCTGGAAATTAGACGACGAGATGATCATTCTTATAGTTTTATGGCTGTTTGTTGACAGGAGAGACATTCAAATCCTAAAATATGTCCTGTATGGTGACTTAAAGGCTTCCGAGAGATGAAGAATCTGAGGTGAACTACAGCAGAGATTTTCACAAGAGACGAAGAATCTGCAGAGATTTTTAGTGCAAGTTTCTCACTGTAGCCATTGAGTGAAAACTCTGCCCTCAGGGTCTCAAACACCGGCAGGGCCTTGTGCCTCCTGGTCTAAAGGAATAGTCAATTAAACACTTAACTTCATTGTTTTCTAAATTGGACCCACCTAGCGATTTTTCTCAAGGTCCTTTTTACAGTTGATCACCCAAGATATTCACAAACGCACGGTTATAATCACCTTTGGGCCTGGCGAGGAGGCAAGATTGTGCAGCTAATTGAAGAATTAGACCAGCCGTGTAGCAGAGAAGACAGCTGAAATGGAAACTAGAAGACAGTAGAGCCTGCAGGAATTGGGTTTGTGACCCCTGCTGTGCCCCCTTTGCAGTTACAGTAAACTGGGGTACACAGGGGCCAGAGAACTTACCTACAGGTCAGTCACAGGGGCCAGGCAGATCGTCAAGATTCGCAGATCACCAGGAACCCCAGTTTTTCCAAAGTTAAGGGCTTTAGCAATTACCGGACAGTGAAGACGGGTTTGAAAACTCGGAGGCAGGCACTGAAAGACCAAACGGTCAAATTCGAAGCGAGCGGTCATGTTCTGGGTTAGCTTGGTAGTGCAGCGTTTCGGAAAGGGGAGTCCATGCGAAGATCTGAGCCCCGGCTGGCCTCTGAGCTCGGGAGCCCGGACTGCAGGCTCACGGGAGGCCGTTGGGTGTTCCTCTTGCAGTTCATGCAGCAGTTCTACAACAGGACGTACTCCGAGCGGTTTGGGGCCCCCATCGACGACAGCTTCCTGACCCTGCTGTGGTCGCTGACCGTGTCCATGTTCCCCCTGGGCGGGTTTCTCGGCTCCCTCATGGTGGCGCCGCTGGTAAACAAGCTGGGAAGGTAGGAGAACAGGTCGAGGGCTTTTAAGCCCCTGGGTGTGGGCAGTGGAGGTTGTGGTCTGGCGCCTTACTCATTCGTCCACAGCGTTGCTCTTGATGCGGGAGGCTGGAAACACCAAGCACAGTGGTGCTGTGTAGTATCTACTGCTAGTCCTGGTTCTGGGGGCTTTCTGTGTCTTCATGCTTTCTAGGTCTCTCTAAAGCTCCAGCCTCTGAGGTGCTATTTAATTGGTTCAGTTAAGCTGACTGAGCTGAGATACAAGTTCTCTGACATGCTGGTTCTACTGGACCAGGTACCATGCTATGTGGACACCAGTCTGGGACTGTGTCATTACAATAGACGCATTTTTCCTATCGAGGTGGTAGGCGTTTTGATTTTGCGATGACTGAGGTTTAAATGTTTTTCACGTCCTCCTTCCCCTGCGCCTCAGGAGAGGGACTCTCCTGTTTAACAACATCTTCTCCGTCGTCCCGGCTGTTCTCATGGGGGCCAGCGAGGCGGCCGAGTCCTACGAGATCATCATAGCCGCGCGGGTGTTTGTGGGAATATGCGCAGGTGAGGAAGAGAATTGGACTGCCTTGGAAACTGCAATGCAAAGCTAAAGTTGTGTTCTTGTGCACAGCAAAATGCAAAATCCACAGTGTCCTTAATCAGTCTCTTACTGGGGCAGGCCAGCTGTAGTGACGATGGTGCTGGCTGTTGACAAACTGAACCACTGTGTGTTCAGACAGGTTCACATAAGGTTCATGTTTTGATTCATTAGGCTGATTGGTGGAGGGTTAAGATTCACATTCCCACATGGGGATAATTTAGATCATTTTGTTTGGGATATCAAGGAACTCGTGACGTGGTGTTGGTGGGTGATTGGAGAATAAAGCCTTCTTACACTGTGTCTCGTGTGAGTATCATGTGCTCAGGAATCTGGAGCCACCTGGCCCTGCACACTCGCCACCCCGTGAAGTGACTTTGTCTCAACCACGAAACTGCCACAGCGTTCTTGAAGCTCGCGTCCACGCAAGGAGAGCTCGGCAGCTGTGGTGAAACTGGCGCCCTGTCCTTGCCCCTCTGTCTGGTGCTAGTGGTGACATCGGGACAGAGGACCCTCTGGCAGAGCTGAGAGCAGATCTAAGGGCTCGGATGAGCCGGCAGCTTTGCTCATCGTTTCTAGTGAACTGAAGGAAGAGGAAGGATCAATAAGACGGGAGGAACCAGCCGCGCAGGCGTGATAAAAGGTTTTGGGATGCATGACGTCCCCATGCCTTCCTCTCTAACGCCCTGCAGGTCTGTCCTCCAATGTGGTGCCAATGTATCTGGGGGAGCTCTCCCCGAGGAACCTGCGAGGGGCCATCGGCATCGTGCCGCAGCTCTTCATCACCATCGGGATCCTCACAGCACAGATACTGGGCATCAGAAGCATCCTGGGTAACACCAGAGGTACCCGAACGTTCTTGTGTTTCACAACAAGACCCAGTGATGCTGTAATGTGTCTCCTTGATCTCTCGAAATGTCATGCAAAAGTTCCTATAGGCAGGTTAAACAGTTTCTGTTTGATTTTGTAGCATTTGTCTTTCCTTTTCGAATGCGCACTGTACCTTGGAGAAGAATGCTTGGGTTACTTGGGCTCTTTGTGTCCAGTGAGAAAGAAACAGGCTGAGACAGACTTGGCAGTGTCTGAGGGTTTATCATAACAGATCTGGCTCCCTAAGATGATCTCAGACGGGATCTCATTAAACCATAGCAGTCTTAAAGCCTTTTGTTATCCTGTTATTTTCAGGTGTGGTACATAGAGTCCACACTCAAGCCTAGTTACTAATCAGGCTGGTGCTTATCCCAGTTTTCATAGCTTTATGCAAACTTATGATGGGGGACAACACACAGCCTTCCAGCTGACACCCCAGAGCTCTGACCACTACTCCTCACTGCCCCCTTTCCAGAGGAAGAACAAACAAAATCCTTTGGAAGTGAACGAAAGCCTAACGGGATTTCAACAGCACAAAGGCAGAGAGACAGAAAAGGTGATCAAAGAAATTGAAATAATTAGCTGGCAGCAGAGCCAAGGGGGGAAAGGAAAGGCTGTTAGTTTGTGTCAAACCCTCTGAATGGACTCGCACCCTTTTGATGTTAATAAGAATCACGGCCTCTTTGGTCTAGCCTGTGGGAGATTAAAGCAGAGCAGCCCTCTTCCTTCTCCCTACAACTAGGAATAAAAGCACACCTCCCGTCCAGCTGCTCTCTCTAACAGGTCAGGAGCAGGGTGCGTGCTCCCAGGCTGACGGGGAGCGTTATGGAGTGGGGTAGGAAGATGGTCAGCCCCTGTCCACGCCAGGGGTTCTGGTGCCGTCGTCCGGTTCCATCTGTCCGACGGGCCTCGGGCTCAGCGAAGGTCTCTGTCTCTGTGGCAGGCTGGCCGCTCATGCTGGCCCTGACCGGGGTCCCGGCCCTGCTCGAGCTCCTGTGCCTGCCCTTCTTCCCCGAGAGCCCCCGCTACAGCCTCATCCAGAGGGAGGACGAGGAAGAAGCCAGGAGAGGTAAACTTGCACGCCCCCCCTCCCCCCCTCAGGAAAGCAAAGAGCCCTTACTTGCACTGTGCAGGTGACACAAGGCCCGGCAGGAGAGGTGTCCCTCTGCTGAGGCCTCTTTTAACCTCTCTGACGGGCTGAACGGTCGGGACTGTAAAGGCCTGGTCTGGTCACATGGTGACGCGCTCGGCGCTCGCTGTGCAGTGAAAGACAGTCAGTTTGGCTCCCTGTGTGCTTGTGTCCGCTCGGCCTTCCGTCTCCTTGGAGCAGCGGGGCCGCATGATGCCTCTTCCTACACTGTCCCCTTGGGGCCAGCACACACGTCACCCTGCAACTCACAGCTGGCAGCCCACAGAAGCTCAGCACCTGGATGGGAGACCTACTGGGGAGAGCTGAGGCTGCTGCTGGAAGAGGTGTTAGTGGGGCCAGCAGGGGGCGCTCACCCTGCGGTCTGTGTGGGTCCTAATGCCCCAGTATAGTGACGGGGACACTATACTGTAAAAGAAGATGCCGTCCTTCAGATGAGACAGAAAACTGAGGTCCTGACTCTCCGTGGTCTTTAAAAATCCCAGGGATTTTTTTCGAAAAGAGTAGGGGTGTTTGGCCTGGCACCCTGACCATATTTCTCCCTTGCCTTTACCAGTCATGGCCTCCTAACAGCTGTATTTTTATGGGTTGGCAGTAAACTTTACATGTTAATCAGTGTTAACGCTGCAGCCTTTCAGACCTTCATTGGCGTTTGCTCTCCTTGAGCATGGCCTGACTCCTTTAAAGAAACAACATCCGTGATCAACAGGCTGATCTTGCCACGTCACATCAGCCTGTTTGCCGTGAGCGCAGGTTCTTGGACGGCGGACGTGGATCGAAGAGATTCAGGGCCGCTGTAACTGCGAAAGGGGCGAAGAAGGCCCTGTGCATGCTGGGTAAGGAGCTTGCAGTAGTGCTGCTGGTCGCTCTCAGGCAGACCCACGAGAGGCTCATCTTGACCTGAACGCAGTACCAGCGGCTGCTGCCGACCTGCCAGGCTGTATCGTGGGTAAAACCAGCGGGGGGGCCGCGGAATCCCAGAATGAGTGGGAAAGGCTAGCGGACGAGTCCCGCTGGTGGGAGGAGCCTCGGCGAACGGCCTGACCCCCGGTGCTCTCTCCGCCCAGCGCTGAGGAGGCTGCGCGGCTGGGAGGACGTGGACGGCGAGCTGGCGGAGATGCGCCTGGAGGACCGGTCGGAGAGGTCGGAGGGCCGCCTGTCCACCCGGCGGCTGTGCTGCGTCCCCTCGCTGCGCTGGCAGCTCCTCTCCGTCGTCGCCGTGAACGTGGGCCAGCAGCTGTCCGGCATCAACGCGGTGAGGCGCAGCGGTGCACCTCCTTCCCCCGGCCGCGCTTCCCGGGCGCGCCTGCTGCAATTCCCAGCTGCTCCGATGAGCTGGGAAGTTCTGTCCTCGTCCTGTCCTGTGCTTGGGCCTGCTTCCGGGGTCTATCCGGGAACATGGCAGCAGGAGCGACAGACAGGGATTTAGCATTTATACGCAGGGAGTGAGGCGGCCGGGGGGTGCAGGGGTTGATACTGGTAGGTCAGTTGATTCTGTAAATCGGTGCTGGTGGGAGTGAGTGTGTGTTTGTGTCCCTGTGTGCCCTGTGATGGACTGGTGTCCCAGGCTCTATCCCGGGACCCTGAATTGGATCAGTGATGTGATGTGGCGAAGGGAGCGTCTGGATTATCCCCTTCCCAACCCGGGGAAAAACCAGTAAAGAGCATGCTGTGTGCTCCTGTTCCAGATTTACTACTACGCCGACAGCATTTACAGCTCGGCAGGCGTGAAGGGCAGCCAGATACAGTACGTCACAGCTGGAACGGGGGCGGTGAACGTCTTCATGACTGTGGCAGCGGTAAGAGTTCGGAACGGGCTGTACGGCTGATCTCATTCACAACACGTGCGGCGTGTCAAGTGTCTTGGCAGCGCACGGTCTCCCTCAGGAAATAACGGCGAAGGCAGCCCATTCTCCAAAGCGACAAAGCAATTTTCATGATGTGTAGCTCACAGGAACCGACTTATCCTGGAAATATCCTGCCGTGCAATTTGGGAGTGCAATGAATTGTATCATTAATCCATCTTTCAGGCTGTCTTGTCCCACATTATGGGAGCAGAATGAGAGACGACAGCCATTTAGACAGAGTTTATAGACACGATCCATGTATTTATTTATAGGAGCATCATCAGCGTTGCCATCTTTGCACTGCAGCTTAATTGCGTCAAACAGAACGCTGGCCAGTAAAAAGCAGGTCCAGATACATGCTGACGCCTCGCTGCCTCTCGTTTCAAATCTCTCCTTCCATGGCTCAGCGAGGATGAGACTCATCTGGGTACTGCGCCCATGAAAACTGTGTTTCACGCCCTCCCCTGCTTGCTCCTGGTGATGGTGTGTGCGGTGCTCTGGCTTCCCCGCCGCAGGTGTTCGTCGTGGAGGCCGCGGGCCGGAGGCTGCTGCTCCTCGTGGGTTTTGGGATCTGCTGTGGGGCCTGTGCCGTGCTGACGGCGGCGCTCATCCTCCAGGTGAGCTCCACACTCGCGGAGGCTCAGGAGCACAGAGGAGGGACAAGAGTTCTTCCTTGGCTCAGCGAAGCTGTGCGACCCACGTGGGCAGGAACAGAGCGCCGTGGATGCCGGAGTCTAGAACGAGCTGCCCAGGGTTCAAAGGCGAAACACTGGCTTCAGGAAGCGTCTGGGTGTGATCCTGAAATCCTGCTAACTCCTAGCAGTTCACCAAGCTTCATACAGAAGGTTGAACGGCCCCCTTTCGTTTGAAACCTTTCCTAAGAACACATGTGAACGAGACGGGGACATCTGGCCCATTCAGCTAAATGTTCCTCTATTCTTTAATTCTTCTTATGTTCTTGAATTCCCATCATTCGGTAAAGTAGCTTTGTCTGAACCTTGGAACAGCTGCCCACAGCCCTACGATACGTGTATGACCGGAGGTCTTTGCCTGCTCCCCCCCTGTGAAGCACTGTAATTACTCCAAATTAATAATCATTACAGGGGAGACTGATAAAGGCTGTTGCACTGTGTTCACAGGAAACAGTCCAGTGGATGCCTTATCTCAGCATTGCCTGTGTAGTTATCTATGTGATCGGGCATGCCATTGGACCCAGTAAGTACAACTCCTCCCACGTTAGGAACAGCACTGCTTTCATTTTTAGTTACTTCCGCAAGAAGGCAAACCAGCCCGCGAGAGTTTCTCCTTGTTTCCCCTTCCTCCCTTCTCCTCAGGTCCCATTCCCTACGTGGTGACGACGGAGATATTCCGGCAGTCCTCTCGCCCGGCAGCATTCATGGTGGCCGGCTCGGTGCACTGGCTCTCCAACTTCACCGTCGGGCTGCTGTTCCCCTTCCTGGAGGTCAGGGCTTCCCAGGCCACTCAAATATAAGGGAGGGGGAGGGGTGTGTTGGGCTCAGGGGGCAGCAGGGTGGGGCAGTGGTGAATATTACTGCCTGCCTGGGGCCCTGGGCACAGTTCCAGACCTGGGGTGCCATCTGTGTGGAGTCAGTATGTTCTCACTGTGCTGGTGGGGGCTTCCTCTGAGTGCTCTGGTTTCCTCCCACAGTCCAGAGACATGCTGGTGGGTTAAATAGGCCCTGGCGTGAGTGTGTGTGTGTGTGTGTGTGTGTGTGTGTGTGCCTGCCTGTGTTTGTGTCCGTCTGCCCTGCGATGGACTGGCATCCCATCCAGGATATAGCCTGCCCTGCACCCGTTGCATGCTGGGATAGGAGCCAGCTCCCCCACCACCCTGAATTGGATAAAGGGGTTAGAAAATGGACGTATGGGATCAGGGTGACCAGCGGGGGTCACCAACCTGTCAGTCATTTCCTAGCCAAGACAAAAATCTCCTTGCAGTGTGAAGAATCTTCAAACCGCCAATGGGGATAATTAAAATTGTTTATGTAATGTCCAGGAACATTTCCATCGCATGTTTTTATTTGCTAACTATGAGGGGATTATATTGGATAAATAATTATTTGATATTTTGCTCTCTGCTTATGGTTTATTAACTACACCTCATTTTAAAACCACAACTAAACACTTTCCACATCTCCATGTGGAGGTCACTTCATAAAGGTCACTGGTCTTCTGTCTTCTGACACAATCAGCTCCCTTAGAGACCTGTGAAAGGCACTGAAATTTAGAATTTGGGGGAATACATCCCTATTCCGATGCTAATTTGTTTGGTACTGTCTTATTTTAATTGGTTGATAAGGAAAATTGGCTGTTCAGTCATTATCCTGTACGAGAGGACAAATCCAGGAGGGAAATCAGCCGAACACCAAAGCCCCCTTTGTCACATCCTGTTTGGAAACATAAGGAGTTTACATTGACAAACTTGTGCACTTTACCGCTGGAGAGAGAACTCATAAAGTACACCGAGTGCACAGACTCAGGAAAGAAACCAGAAGTGCTGTAGGAAGAGAGAGCACAGGGGATGTTTGTTTTTTTTAACAAAGGCAGATGCAATGAAAAGATAAATAAAACAATCAAAAATCTGTAATAGATATAAAATTGTTCTCCACTATCCTGGGAGAGAAAGTGAGAAGGAGCCTAAGAGCCTCTGAAAAATCAATACTTCCCTCTCAGCGAAAGATTGACTGTTGGAAACGAGACGGCGGACAATCTGATTTTTATAGCGGCAGAAAAAAAAGGTTTGCAGCATGCAGGCAGCAGGGAAGCGTGTTTATATGGAAACTGGTGGCACTGCTCTTTCACGAGTGTGACATGGCGCTGGGCTCGTGCTGAGGGACAGTGCGAGGAGACCAGGGTGGTGGGTTTAAGCACAGTAGCCCACCCAGGCCTGTGAATGCAGGGTTGAGCCATTAGAAAGAAAACAAAGCCACTCAGACAGGCTTATCCAGTCCGGCTCCTGGAGGCATGCCACCTGCCGGGTTTTCATTCCAGCCGAGCTCTCGCTAACTCAGTGGAACACTTAATTGACTTCTTAATTGGTTTAGTTTGACCTCTTTTAATTTTTTCCAGCTCTTAAACACATCCAAGATTGGCTTTTATCTATTGCATTTTGCCAGTGAAATAGAATCCCAAACTTCCAAGTGGGATAAGACTTGCACATAATCCAGCTTGCTAGCTCAATTAAGGCTTCGGTGAGGTCGTTCAGCTTGGCTGCAATGAAAACTTGGTGCAGGGTGACCCGGGACTGGGCTTGGCCACAAGCACAAGGAAGCTCAGAGAACACCACGCACATTTCACAAGCTGCTCTCTCCAGCGTTCACATCTGTGTCTTTTCAGAAAGGGCTCGGCGCGTACAGCTTCATCATCTTCTCCCTCATCTGCTTGGCGACGCTGGTCTATATTTTCATCGTGGTGCCGGAGACCAAAAACAAAACCTTCCAGGAAGTCAGCCAGCTGTTCGCCGAGAGGAACAAGACCGACATGGAGATGGAGACCGCAGGGCCCGAGGCCAGCAGCCCGAGACCGGTCTGCGGCGCGCAAGAATCGAACCCAGACGAGCTCAAAACGAGCAGACTGTGAACCTGAACCCCTGTCGTCTCTTTGGGGTGTCCTCTGTCTGGATGATGACCTCTGCATTGGTTGCAGGTGAACAATATTAAAGTGACGGCAAAGGAAGAAACGAGAACTTATTTTTCCGTCAGAATCACGCTCTTAATTGCACGGCTGTTTCAGTGTCTCATGTTTTCATAAACGGGTGCAACATTATTCAAGATCACTCATTTTCTGTTCCCAAGACATCTTAGACGGCACTATCAAAACTTCCGGCTTGAACACGCAAACGAGACCTGTTCACTACATTGGAAAAGTGAGGAGCTCTTCTCTTTCCTGCTTAAGCACCAAGTGAAAACACTTTAATAGCTTTTTAACTGCCTGTAGTGTCTAAGGCTTATCACATGAAGCACTCCCACAAATGAGATCACGCTAAAAATAACTGTGAATATACTATTTCCTCATTGGATGCTTGTTTCTTTTTCATTTGAACTGTCTCAAAGAGATGCTTGTCAGAGAGAGAGGGCAACCCTGAAAGATGGCCTGTTGTCCCATCTCAACGCACACCATGGAGCATCGGTCACTGCGCAAACTTGCAAAAGAGAACATGAGTGTGTGTGTGTGTGATGTCTGTGTATGTGATGCAAATGTGGTGTGTGTCCTCTGTATATGATGTGTGTTCACATTTGTGTGTCTGTGTATGTAGTGTGTGTCCACATTTGACTGTGCCTGTATGTAGTGTGTGTCTGTAAGTTTGTGTGTGCCTGTGTCTGTATGTTTGTGTGTGCCTGTGCATGGTGTGTGTATGTTTTTGCGTGCCTGTGCGTGGTGTGTGTATGTTTGTGTGTGCCTCTACGTGGTGTGCATGCACATGTCAAAATGAATTGCTGGTTTCCAAAGCTGAACATGCAGAAATAATCAGATCAGATTGATTTGTAATCAATGTGTACAAAATAGCCAAAAGTAATTAAGCAAAATCTAGTAGCTGTTCATTGATATCAAATTCAATTCCCAGCTCAACTGAGTCAATACTGTGAACTCAACTCTTCACCTCACCATGTAATTACTGGCATGTGTTTGCTGACACACTTAACAAAAAGCACGTCACCTGAATACCAACACCTTTTTTGGATTTTAAAAGTCGGGAGGCCAAACATTAACAGTCATAAAAAGCAGAGCCGTCATAAAAAAACTTTGCTGAAGCTGTATTTATTATTGTTGATGCAGAGATATGATTTAGAGACGTATGCAGATAAAATCAAAGTGTATTTAACACCGTAATGATTCTTCACATCCCTGGATGCCATGCGGCACGTTCCCGTTGGAGAGCCGGGCCGTGTGCGGACAGCTAACCTCTGTTAGTGAGGACATGACACACCTGACGGAAGTTCGCTTTCCTGCTCTGTTTGCCTACCGTAGCTCACGTCATCTACTGTACCTGCCTGGTTCTGAAACAGCGCCGCGCCGAGGAACGTCCAGTCCCGAGGCTAGGGGCACCTGTCCTCCGATTCGAGCCGCACCCCTCCGTGGAGGCTGACGGCGGTCGCCCCCCAGCTGAAGACGTTCCCCTTCTGGGTGCCGTTCCGGCACGACATCTGCTCCCGGATCTCGGATGAGCTCAGGACGTAGTCCCACACGTGGACGTCGGTCATGTGGCCCACGAAGGCGTCGGCGTCGGAGATGCCCAGCAGGCCGTCCTGGTCCTTGCCCAGGATCAGGGTGCCCCCGGGCCGCAGCACGTAGCCGCTCCTCAGGTACTGCTCCTCGCTCACCAGGCCGTTGAGCCACAGCTCCGCGCCCCCCGAGTGCGAGGCCCAGGTCAGGCAGTAGCTGCCCCAGTTCTGGGAGCGGAAGCTGTGGGGGAAGTTGACGAACTCGTTGCCCACCCACAGCCCCACCTCGTAGCCGGCGGTGATGAGCAGCTCGTTGTCGTGGCCGGCGCTGGAGTAGGAGAGCACCGTGTGCACGCCACTGGCCTTCAGCTTGATGTGCATGCAGACCGTGAAGGAGGACAGCGCCATGCCGTGCTCGTGGTGCACCTCGGCGTAGCTCTTCGTGTTCCTCTCGGGGAAGTGGAAGACCAAGGGGGCGTGAGGTTTCTTGCCTGGGCACAAGGGACAGAATTAACGTCGCAGGCAGGGGGTCAGCCTCTCGCTCAAGCCCGCCGTGGCACTAACAGTGGGGAAGGTACAGCCCAGACGGGCCGTGCTTGCAATGGGACAGTCACTGTGCTGGATGAAAAGAGGATGAAACTCAGCAGAGTCCATTAGCCCTCTCCAACACCAAGATGTACGAGACAAGAGCTTCCACTTAAAAGCTCGGAACTAACACCAGTGGGCAAGGGGAACCTTAATAAAGTCCTGTTTATTCTGCCTGTACGGCTACTGTGGCTGACTCCCCAGCTGGGCGGGGTTGTTATTAGTCACGTGATCGCCTACACAGTCTGACTCGAGTCTGGGCTGTGGCCTTTGCCAGTAGTCAGAGATGTCTCGGCCTCGCGAGCGCACGTGCAGGGCAGTCTCGGGAGGGAACGTGCTCTTCGGCGAAGAGAAAGGGAGGGGCTCACCACAGTCATGCTGCTGGAGTCCTGGGAGGGAGCCTGGGAGACAGGAGAGGGAGAGAGGGTGCGAGTGAGCACGCCGCGGCAGCCCGGAGCTTCGTGCCACACGACTATGCACAGGCAGGCAGTCACAGACAGTCGCTTTGCTGGCCGCCATCAGCCAGCACCAAGATCATTCCGAGTAGAAGATACAGCTCTTTTTATATTTCTTATATAATTGAATGGCAGCACTTTTCTGGCAGTGCTCAATGACTCCTAAGAGATCCTATGACTTGAGTACGAGGTCCCTATGTTTAATTAGCAGCTGCTCGGCCACATGTGCCCGAATAAGCTGGGTTTGACCAGCTGGGTACAGGAATGATTGTAACGGGTGACTACAATAGAATCCAGGGGTGTTTCTATCCCTGGTGGGGCTGGGTATCACCACACACAGACACGCTTACTCCTGAAGAATCCCTGCCCGCTGGGGGGCCCTTCTGTGTTTCGGTATGTCTGTGTTGTCAAGTTGGCGGCTTTGGGCGAGCCAGTGCGATCTTAAAACATCCGTCTTATCAGTTCTTAAAAGAAAGACTCCTGGTCCTCAGAACTCATCTCTCGGTTACACCGAAACCATCCCTAACCCTGTCGTGCATCACTGTCGTGTTATTAAGTCGCAGGTGTTACAGCAGCATCTCTGCTGAACCACAAAAACACAGCAGGCTCACGACTTGTGTCCCAGTTTCCTCGTGAGCTTATATGACCTCTTTTTCTCCAGGAGTTTGTATCGTGAAGGGGTGTGCACTTTAACCTGGGAACAGGAGACACTTCCTTACGCAGGAAGTTGAGGGTGCCTGGATCAAGCCACCTGGCTGCGCTGTTGCAGACAGTTCCCGGGGGATTACTTTGAGGAACATCTGGGTGAGATCTCAAGGATCGACAAGCTGCTGTCGACCAAAAGGGCCACCAAGATCACTTCCCATTTCTAACCTTTCTGATGCTCCTAACAGCACCTCCTCCCTGTGACTGGCACGTCCTGAGCACATGACGTGAACCTCCTCAAGACTGGACACACAAAAGCAGCAGGAGTGTCTTCACCTGTCTGGATCTGCTTCCCCAAGGAGTTGATCATTCCCTCGATCTTCAGTAACTTGGACTCAATCTCCTCTTGGCGGCAGAAAGCTGCTTTTAGAAGAAAATCAAAGCAGTGGCTGAGCACTGGTAACTGTTGGAAAATACAGTAAAGTATTCAGCATGGCAAAAATGTTTAGGGGATCATTTTAAAACATCCCCTTTGTGTTCCTTATGAGTCCTAAAATATTCATAACACATGAATACAAGATTACTTTTTTGTGACAGCTTTTTTATCTTTACAATGTTCAGTGTTTTGGGAAAGTCAAGTGTTTTTTTTTTTTCAAAACACAACTATCGTGTTTTGTTTTTTTTAATCGCAAACCTATTCCCGACACTGGTCGGTCTTCTGTGTTGTTGCAATGACGGCACCACTAGGTGGCGCCAGAGAGTGCAGCGCAGTGAGACAGCAGCACAAAGTCAAACAGTGCCTTTCCCGGTACATGCTGGGAAATTAGCTACCGACCAGGCCGGTTTAGTGACTGGAGCCCGAGGTGCCTCTGTGCCCACATACTCACTGCCTTTGCCCAGCCGTGGCAGGAAGGAGGACTCCACCACCCTGTCGTTCAGGGACTGGGCCACCCTGTAATCATTCCACAGCGTCTGGTTGCGATAGTCCATCAGGGTGCTTTCCAGCTTTCTGATCTTTCAAACACAAGAAAGCGAAGGAGACCAGACTGCTGTGATGCCAGAGGCCAATAATTATTAGAATTATCATTGCTTACACTTACTGTATATAGCGCTTTTCTGGACACTCCACTCAAAGCGCTTTCACAGGTAATGGGGATCCCCTCCACCTCCACCAGTCTGTAGCCCCACCTGCATGATGCGACGGCAGCCATAGTGCGCCAGAACGCTCCCCACACACCAGCTCTCAGTGGGGAGGAGAGCAGAGTAATGAAGCCAGTTCATAGATTCGGTACTTACAGGGAGCAGGGGGGAACAATGCAGAGAATGAAGCTAATGGATTGATGTGCATGTGCACGTACCCACAGCTCCTATAGTTCACCTCCCTCTATGTTCCCCTTGTAAAGGAGCCTGGACTGTGGGGGGTGGGTTGTGAGGGTCTGGAACAGACCACCTCGCCCACGTTGGTGAAGCTGTTACTGTGGGATTCTCCCAGAAATGGCCGGATGAAATCCTGGGACCAGACAGCTCGATGGGGCAAAGGCCTCCCCCCTGCTCATCCTTCTCATGGGTGTCAAGTCGCCATGACGGCGTCGAACTGGACTTCACATTTAATGAGTGCTGAGCTCAAGTAAAGCATTTACACAGCTCACACACAGCTGCTGAAATGCTGGCTGTTGCTTTTGGTCCTGGGAGACCTGCAGGGAGGCCGGCTGGAGAGGGGCGGACCGCGGTCTGTACCTGGCTGTGGGAGAGGGTGATGGGGGTGTCGAACACCGTCCACAGGATGCTCTCATAGCACGGGGGAGTGGTGAGAGAGCCCTGGTAGCGGAAGAAATGGGAGAGGTTTTCCGGGAGCATGGAGCGCACGTTGACCGACGAGATGATCATGGACTGGCCTGCGAGGAGGCAGAGCACAGGACAAGGGAAACCGCCGCTGCTAGCGGAGAGACACAGAGAGGTACACCGCAAACAAACACTTGTCGAAGGACATTGCCTCACCTGCATACCTGATATATTTCAGGTTCGAGATGAAATCACTGTAGTAAGTGTTTTCAAAATGCCCGTCCTGGAAGGGAAGGAAGATTGTGTTCAATTTTTATACAATGGAATAATCCTGATCAATATGGAACACCAGGTACATGGCAGTAGATGTGCGCAGTGTCGCAGCAGGAGCTGGACTTAACTCGTCTGAGATCTCCTACCTTGCTCACGCTGTGCATTAATAATACATTTCCGAAATAAAAAAAATGAAACAAATAGTCCATCACAGTATGGCTATGCATTTAATTAGTCTGCCTTCTGCCTGTCACTGAAGCCTGTTTAATACTGTGGTATTCAGAAGCACTCAGGCTACAGCTGTCACCCTGAGTTGCAATATCTAAGAAATGATGCTGTGCGTTACAGAGCTGATGCATTCTCTGACCTCTCTCTAACTGTATTACACCAGCTGCTATTAACAGCCTGAGCACATCCTGGAGGGAAGCAGCTGTCAAACGGAATACAGGCCCGGATTAGTTGATCAGTGGTTGTCTGGGAGCTTTGCTGCTGCCTGTTAACGTTAGCGTCACTGAATCTAAACTTCTTCGTGTGTCACCAAACACTTCCGTGTGCTGGGTTACTCTGAAGGCCACGCAGCACAGCTGACCCAATCACAGCCAGGGCAGCGATCAGATTCTCCCCTGTTGCATTATGTATGTCAAAACTCTCCAGCTCACGGCCCGAAGACTCTTTCCCCCTCTCGCAGCCTCTCTGTGTTCTGAAATTTCCATCTGGAAGAATGTACCCCTTTGGCAGACATGCTTTTAATTGTTGCTTTTTGAAATCAGCAGACAAGCACGTTGCTTCAGTCATTGAATTTTGTCTTCAGCTTGTGTGTTCCCTGTTTTTACTATAATTGTTTGCTGGGGCATGAAGTACTATATGTAGAGCAATGCTGCATACTGCTGTTTCTGTGTGTGTGTATGTGTGGAGTGTGATGAATTATCTTCATCTCTCCTTTAACTCGAGGGACCTGTGGATAACTGAGTGCATAGTCCTTTTCAATGCACACGAGCAGGTCATGAGGGAATAAGGGCTGACTATTGTAGCTTTAGCACTTTGAGCATATAATCTATATAGAGAGAGAAAGCAGAAGACTTAAGGTGAGTTTACCTCATAGAAAAATGCAAGCACAGCTAATCCGTCAGGTTTGTCTACAGCTTCGGCAAAGCTCTTATATTTGTCGGAGTTGTAGTGGACAACATGCAACTGCAACAAAAGCAAAAACAACATTTTAAAAATAAAAAAGGCATACTCAAGAACTCTTTCCAATTGTGCATCACTCATTCAGAGTGCGACACATCTGTGTGGCTCTCCTGCTATGCAATCTGAGACACCTTTAGGAAAGACGGTGATTTCACGGCTATTTCAAACGCTGAGGAACTGAAACATCGTCTGTTTAAACTCCTGCCTGTTTCAATGAATTCTCCAGGGACAGGAAGAGTCCAGAATCATCTACCGGCAGTGACGGCACAGTGCAAACTATCCTGTATCGATGTACTAACATAACAGTTAAATTAGGGGGAAATTGTAAAGATGAATGAGTCTAATCATTTATAAAAATAATAGATTTTAGTTCTGGGGGGTCATTAAGCATTGCTTTTATAGTTCGTTAGCCTTAATGTGTGTGGAAACAATCCAGATGCTACCTTTGGCACAAGCCCTGTAGGTCAGGGCTGCTCTGCTCTCCAGCAGCAGAGAGCAACGTCCTCTGTGGCACCGTAGTCACTAAGTAAACAAAGAAGCCCGACTGCACATGAGAGGAAAACTGAAATCCCGTTTCCCCCAAGTTAAAAACAGCAATTGCATCTAGAATCCACCATAATTCCTCCTACCAATACTAGGCAACAGGTTGTTGTAAGGGGCATCACCACCATGCCATTGTAGATAGATAGATAATACTTTATTAATCCCATAGGGAAATTGGGTATCATGGCAGAGAAGGCAGCTGGGATTCCCTTATTCAACTTTAGTATTTCCGTGTTAATGAGCATTTTGACACCTGGCTTTCCACAGATGCAGAGCAGGAATAAGTCCGGGGGCCGCGTGGCGGGATCAAGGCAAAAACGGGAAGGGGGCTGGCATGGGGAGGGCTGAGCCGCGCTGAGCCGCGCTGGCTGCGTGTTCGTCCGATCGCGCCGTACCTCCGCCATGAACCGGATGCCGTCCATGGTGTGCTCCGACCCGCTGGCCTCCAGGTCCATACCCCCCCAGTGCAGGTGCATCTGGACCGCGGTGTAGCGGCCGGGCAGGCCCTGGGTGATCACCATGCTGGGCGGCAGGTTGATCTGGACTGTGGGAGCAGAGAGGAGAAAAGGCCTCAGCTCCTGCTGTCGCCTGTGCAAAGGCTTCTGGGAAGCATGAGCGGGAGCAGCCTGGACTGGGACTCAATCAGGAGCGTGAGGGCAATACGCTAACGAGTTCAACGCGCACACATGAAGAGGTGTTTAATGGATATCAATAACATTGGAGACAGTATCCCAGAATGATTAGTAATGTACTCCCCCCTCTCCTTCTTCCTCCTCCCCCTTTTGTGACTGAATGTTTTGGGATTTTATCCAGGAGGAAAATGTAACTTAGGAACAGAAGCCCTGAGCCCTGCTATTCGTTTCCTCCCATAATATTGTGCCAGTTGTACCTGGTTGCCAAGTGACCGATCCCGACACAAGGATTAGGGCTTTAGTCCTGCCGAACCAAAACAGCACGATCCTGCGGAAACGTCCCTGCGCTTTCAAGAATCTGTCCCTGTCCTACTCCAGGTTAGCATTTCAAATCGGATTAGACAGTGTTTCTCCTGGGGTCGCTTGCTATGTCAAAGTTGAACGAAAGTGCGTTTTGGAAAGAGATCGGCCGCCCTTCTGCTGTTGATTCGACACAGGGGCGTGTGGAAAGGAGCCCAGGGTCACCAGCGATGGCTCTGGTAAGTATTGGAGTGATCCGTGTGTGTGTGTGTTGGACCGGGGACAGGAGAGGCGCGATGTTACAGGTCGGCGGGTTCCACAACACTGCGGACCAGGAGAGCAAACAGGCAGTCCAAGGCTTTTTAAATACTCCTTGCCAGCTTGGAGGACTTCAGCAGAGTCACGAGACCACGGCAACAGCACGAGCTCAGTGAACAAGGCCTTGAAGGCTGTGGTCACACGGAGGGAGCCGAAGTCTACCCCAGCAAGCAACGTGCGCAGTGCAGGGTACACCCTGGACAGGACGCCAGTCCATCACACACACGCGGACACAAACACACAAAATCACATCATGGTCAACCTTTTCAGGAGCCAACTGACCTACCAAAATGTCTTTGGACTGTGGGAGAAGACCGGAGCACCTGGAGGAAATGCACACGAACACAAGGAGAACATGCAAACTCCACACAGACAGCACCCAGGTTCAGGATTGAACCCAGGGCCCCTGTGCAGCAAAATTTTGATTTTTGTTTCCAGATACATACATATACTCTATTCCAGCCGGGAGCTGGAGTCTATCCCAGTAGGTAATAGGCGCAAGGCAGGATACACACTGAATGGGACACCAGTTCATTGTAGGGCAGACACACACTCATACCGAGTGCCACCAGAGCATCCAGAGGAAACCCACTTAAACACAGGGAGAACATGCAAACTCCATACAGATAGCACCCCAGAACTGAACCCAGGGACCTTGCGCTAACCAGTGCACCACTATGGTACAAATTATACACGTCAAATAAACACATCAAGGGCTATAACAAGCTCCACACCAACAACATCCTTCTGCGTTTCCTGCTGCATCTTTGGATGCGTTTTCCCACCAGGCGGCGCCACACCAACACTAAAAGCATACAGAGGAACTTGTTTCCAGCGCGCGTGTTTAAAGCTCATGTAAACAGTCACTTCTTTAAAAAAAAAAACAAGAACAAAACGCCTTTACTCTGAGACCACGCTAGCCCCTGGCCAGCGCGAGGGAGCAGGTATGGGACTGCAGAACCGGGCCACTGGACCCAGCAGTGCGGATCACGAGCATGAGCTCACGGGCTACACGGAGCCGTGTTCAGCCGGCGCCGTGGTCCCAGAGTAAACTGGAGATTTGTTGTTGGGGCTGTCACGCGTGAGGTCGCCTGCTCGCTCTTGGGCGCTACTGCACCTGAGTGGCCGTTGTTGGTCATGAGGGAGTTTCCCTTCTGCGGGCCGTCGTAGCCCGTCAGCTCCAGCTGCAGCATCTTGGGGTTGTATCGGACCCTCTTCCTCTGGATGTCGATGGGCGACTGTTTCAGGCCGCCGCAAGCCGGGTACTTCTCCGCCCAGTGCGCCTCGTCCAGGCTGCCCTCTTGCGGACAGGGAAAAAAGACACGCGTGACTCTTGAAAGAGAGGATACGGAGCTGCTTCGAGCTCACCGCAGCCTGGCAGGAGTTCGCGTTAATTTCCTGTATCGTGAGAAAGACCTGGCACCGCACCGAGGTCGGGGTTTTTTTTTAAATACGATTCCATAGAAGATGACTCGCCCGAGTCGCGGGGCGCAGTCTTAACATCGATTATATCACTCTATCAATATGTAGAATTAAAATTCTGACCCACCCGGGAACCTGGCGGCTCTGAGATAAACCTGTGGGAGAACAGAACACCGTGGGAACTCGGGGATTTCCCCCCGCTATTAGTGAGTTAATTTGCACGAATTTAGAATTGATTTAGTTGATGCATTTTCAAAAACAAGTCTGAGATGCAGGAAATTCCACTTTGCAAACGTATTTGACACACACATGGCACGCAAGTGCAAATAAGAACAATTAAATAAGAGCCTCCTTCACGCATCTTATTACTCATCCTGTCATTTAATCCTATGCTATTAATCAAGAGTGAGACGGAATTCAAAATGTGTGAAATGTTGTTTTACATTCATTAGCCGAAGGAAACTACTGAAAAAAGAAAAGGAGCTTACTTTTCTTACTATTGTGTGAGGTGAAACGTGCTCTAGCTGTAAATAGTGTTGTAAAGTTCACCTCTGTTTGTTTTGGATTGCTGTGCTGTATTGCTTCCCTGTGCATTGAGCAGTGCCTAGACACTGTGTCATATCAGAAACTTACAGAGAGGTCCAGACTCATGCAAAGAAACTTCTATGTACGAGTGCAGAGTCTGAAAGTTATCCATCCTTTACGTTGTTTTAAACACTAGTAAAAAAACCGAAGGAAATATTTTTTTACCTTTGTAGGACCAGTGTATTCCTTGAATTTTGTCACAGCTGACTCCCGCCAGCAGAAAACAGAAGCAGAGACAGAATTCCCATGTCATGGCTGAGCTTCGAAACAACAACAGCCTGTACATCCAGCCTTGTGCTTCGAGTGTGTGAGAGAGCGTTTAGGGGGAAATCGCTCTGCATGCTCAGATGAGATAGCCTTTGGCCTTGTGGATAAGTTTGTGAAGACCGGGAATCGGATATTGATTCCCCCTCTGGCTGGTTAGCTAATAGTTTACACACAGCATGCTGAAGGCATGCTCTTTTATGAGTTTATGGAAAGTAAACAGGAACTGAGGGCAATAGCTGTTTGTCTATGCACATGTTGCAGAGATCCTGTAAGTCCATTTTACAAAACAACATACATTTTTCCATGTTTTTAGGTTTGCCACGTGACACAAGCCTCCCAGGGTACGAATAAGTACAAAATGAAGCTTTTTTATAGGCCGTGTTGGTCCAAAGGCATTTGACTTTACAGGCTTTTTTTTTAAATTGCTAGTGATCTGTGAGCCCCAACCATGACAGGGCCATTCTGTTTTCTCTAGGCGTCCTTAAACCCGGAATAATTCCAGCAAGAGACTATTCCTGCTGCTGTTGCAAAAGTTTATTTTAAATGATTTTAACTGTTTCTTTTTTTTAGACTGGTTGTTTAAAATTAAAGTGGTTTAATATGTGCATGAACCTATTTCTCTCTACATGAGTATATACTGAGAGACATTAAAAACACAAGAAAGGTCAGTGGCTTCGATGCGTGTGTGGTGTTTTTCATGTCCTTCAGTGTACGAATACTATACGCGGTGGAGTAGGATGAGCCTTTGTGTTCATCGTTAGGCAACATATGATGTTAATTTTTAATTGTTTATTTGCAGGAACTCATGACCCGACATCTGTGACTTGAACCCGCCCCACCCCCAATCCACACAGCTGCATGAATGGGCATCGGCCAGGAGCCCCTGACCAGACTGGCATCTGGTCAGGAGCGGGGAGTCACATGCTCCCACACAGAGACAGAAAGGGAAAGTCCTGAAGAACGATTGAGAGAAAGGCATGCACGGACCCCAGACCTCCTGTCTCAATCCCTCCTCCCGCCCCAGATATGAGAACTGTGCAGACAGCAGGCAAGCGACTGATGGTTCTGAAACAGTTCCCACTGAAAGAATTACTGCAAGCGTTGGCACCACGGAGTGTAGTTTTTGCAGCTGGTGCGTTCTGGGTAAGAATGGAGAAATGAGTGCAGTACTGTATGTTGTCCTGGATCTTAGGCTCATGGCTGTCAGTTATTAAAGGCCTATAGGCTTAGATCACTGCGATGGATTGGTGTCCCGTCCAGGGTGTATCCTGCCCTGCGATGGACTGGCATCCCATCCAGGGTGTATCCAGCCTTGCACTCTGCCTGCTCCGCAACCCTATGGATGGAAGCGTAGATGTATCGCTGACGTTTTGTGCTTCTCGCCAGCAAACCAGCGCAGCTCGCCATTCTCTCCTCTTTGCCCCTAACTAGCTTAATTAGTTAATTGGTTAGTTGGGACCCAGATCTTGAAAGCTCTCTCCGAGAGATGCCGCTGGGTTATACTGCTGCTGTAAGCTTTCTCAGTCGAGCTCTGGATGTGGCCTGTATGGGTTATAGGTAGTCTTGGCTTCCCCCTCGCAAATGAATACCATGAGGCTGAAATGGCCTGTGTGAGCAAATCATGGTATCGGGGTTCCCTTCTGCTTCTAACCGCAGAGAGCCTTTTCGGATGCCTCCTAGCATCTAGATGCGGTACTGTCGCATGCACGCCTGGTCACGGTCCCAGCCACCCCGGGGCGGAGTGGTGGCTCTGTGGCTCAGGATCTGTGCCTGTGGCTGGAACGTTGCTGGTTCAAATCCCGCGGCCAGTAGAGGAGGGCCCCAGAGCAAGGCCCTTACCCCCAACTGCTGCAGGGGTGCTGTACAATGGCTGACCCTGTGCTCTGACCCCCAGCTTCTCTTCCCATCTGTGTGTCTCATGGAGAGCATGCTGGGGTCTGCGAAAAGACAAACTCCTATTGCAAGACATTGTATGTGGCCAATAGAGTGATCTTGTCATATCCACCCATGTTCAGCCTGCATCTGGTGACAAAGGTCACTGCTTTCATTTGGTCTAGAATGGAAATTGATTTGGGAAGGGGAGGGGGGTATTGATCGGTTGAAGGATCAACCTTTATGCAATGTGTGGGTTTTCCGGAGTCAATAAAATTAATTATTTACAAACTTGAGTCGGGCCGCAGGCATGGCTGGCTCGCGTATAGATTTATAGATCACCTCTCACCGTGTATTTGTCTTCCAGCCCCACGCCTGAATTGAACATGACTATTTCTTTTTTCAAACGAGGTGGCAAATGTGAGAAACCCACCACTGAGGCATAACTTATTTGCAAATATTGCCTCGGGAACTAAATTAATGGAACACTCCATTCAAAAAAAAAAAGAGCTTCCCCCTGACGTAGAAGTACACTGAAACTCCGGGCTGTGCGGTGTTGGCACTGGCAGAACAGTGAGACCCTGATGCTGCACTTCGTCTTCTGCCCAGTAGGAGGCAGTGTAGACCCTCACAGAAACCTTTGAGAAAGAAATAGTGGGCTGGCCTGGTTGGAACTGGGTGAGAGGAAAAAACTAATATTTTGCTTCCAGCCTTGTAGAGAATAAATAAAAATGAATAGTAGCTTTATGACTGATTGCGCCTTGCAGCCCAAAGTGTTCTGCACCCAGGAGGAGACCCAGCTGGGTGACACACAGCAGCCGCCCTGCACCAGCGGTCCCAGTACCCAGCAGAGCCTGGTCTGATTGGCCAGAGCCCAGACAGAGTTCAGAGTTCAGGCACTGGGGTCAGCTCCCCTGCCCTCACAAGACAGCCATGGGCATCTTTCATTAAACTTCCAAGGCAAACAAAACTTCAAACTGTTTTTTTCTTTTTAACGGATTACAGAGTAGGCGTGCTGGAACAATGAAGCCATCACAAGGCAGTGACTCAGAAAGCTTGTGTCAGTGCTGTGGTGGGGCTGATGCAGTCCAGGCTGACCAGACCAGGATGCTGGTACACTAATACAAACAGTGCCCCACTTCTCTGGAAGAGTCTTCTACAGCTGGCAAAGAGAGCAAAGATTGGGTGCCGCTGCAATTGTGTGTGTGCGTTTTTTTAATTGAGTGCATTAATATTAGAACACACGCTGGGAATGACTCCAGAGTAAACAAGGGCTCTTTTATTCAGGCAGTAGTTGTTCTTACTTCTGAAGCCTCAAAACGAGTTTCATTCAAAGTAAAGTTAGAATGAATGGAACAACTGTTTCAATAAAACACGACTGCTTCCTAATATCTCAGTGAATCATTTTCTGACTACTGTTCTACCCTCAGAAAGCCCTGGGACGTCATGATGTGGGTTCCTGCCTGGAAACGCATTTTCTTCCGCCTCTGTCCGTGACGTGGCGCAGGCGAACCACCAGGCGGCGCGCTCCCGCGTCCCGCCGTCCTCAAGGTCACCGCGCGCGTCCGCCATTGCTGATGCTCCGTTCTGCACTCCTCCGGCTGCCATGGTGACGGGGGACGGGCCCTCGCCATGGCAACAGGGCCTCGAGGGGGGGGTGGATGACTGCCGCTGATCATTCAATGGCGGAAAAAAAGGACGTTTTGAGAATGAATCAGCCCCGTGTTCAGGAATGCTTGTGCACGGTTACAATTTCTGTTCAGATTTTGTGCGTTACAAATGTGTTTATATATGTCTACAGGTCGGTACCGAAAAGGGCAGCAGGGTCGTGCAGTTGTTAAATAGACAAGACTTTATTGATCCCGAAGGGACATTGAGGATAGTATTGCTGCCTCGCAGTGCTGGGCCCCAGGGTTGAATTCCAGCCCTGGGGTGCTGTCTGTGTGGAGTCTGCATGTTCTCCCCGGGTTCGTGTGGTTTTCCTGTAGGCGCTCCGGTTTCCTCCCACAGTCCGTCCAAAGACATGCTGGCAGCTTAATTGGCTTCTGGGAAGACTGGCCCTGGTGTGGGTCGGCCCGGTTAAGCCAGGGACCAGCCGGTTTAGCCGAGCTGGACCGAAACCCAGACACACGGGCCTGCCGGGATCAGGACCGGACACCCCTGTCCTCCATTCCGTGCTGCTGTTTGCGCAGATCTGCTCATCATCGCCTGCCTGCCGAGATGGAAAAAACAAAAAAAAGTGACATTTTGTCTTCCAATCGCTCTGATGAAGGGCGCCTGTGAGCGAGACACGCCGCCGAGGCAGGCCCCCGCGCGAACACGGTTATAAATTATGCAAGCTGCAGGTATTGGGTAACAGGTCTCTCCGCCCGGAGCCGAGCTCGTTAGGAAAGAAAAGTTTTGCGCGCTTTATGATTCCAGTTCCCTGTTTGCAGAAGCGCCATCCCTCCGAATTGCTCGCTAGCACACCAGGCAGCCCCTCGGCGTCTCCACACACGGGGCCCGGGAGCTGTCTGTCCTTCAGTTCACGGCTGCGTGGGTTCACCCCGAAAGCGCTGAACCGGCGCCCACCCGCCACCAGAAAGCCGCAGACCCCCCGGGTGAGAGAGGTCGGGGCAGGGAGCTGCGTCAGGCTTGTTGGAGGGGACCAGGTGAGGGTTTATTACCGGCTGGGACAGGGAAAAGGAGGAGACGGCGCCTCGTTCGTGGCCGCCCGCCTCTCGCTGGAAACCCCACGTGAATGCCGGAGGACCACGCGGACTCCACGCAGAAGGAGCCCCGACCCCACAGTCGAGCCCAGACCGCAACAGCTCCAAGGCTGACACCCACGCCCCTAGACTTGAGACGTATTCATTTATTTTAAAAAAAAGGAACAAGAAGAATATTTCATCACTGACGTATCTCTTTATTATAGCATTAGTTTTACAGGGCTTGAGAATCTCCCCTCGCCTTCTTATTCTTGAACCGTTTTTCTAATGATCGAGACAGAGAAAATGCGCGAGTGATATGCATCATGGAACAGGTCATGGGTTTATTCCCTGCCGAAAGGAGAAGAAAGAAAACACAACGTTTCGGCTGTGGACCCTTCTTCGGGTGTAAGAATAATGGGGGAACTCAGCCTATCTCCCGTGTGTATTATAGCATGTGTATGTGCACCTATGTTATGTGTTCGGCTACGTAAAGAGAAAATAAAGATGAGGAAAATGTCAGCTCGCACTCGGGGCTGCGGCGGGTGTCTGGCGAAGGAGAATGACTGTTCTGTATCAATCTGCGGGTCACCCTGAGTGGTTTGGGGATGACTGAATCGTGAATCGGCCGTGGAAAGCCTGGCTCGGGCGGCGGTCTGCTCCCTGGGCAGTGACGCAGCGCCGTCGCGCGGAAAGCGTTGCTGATTCCCGGCACGTAGTCCTCACTGCGCCACCGCATCCCGAGCGGGGGGGGGGCTGGGTCGGGACTGTCCCTGGAGAAGCACCTTTCATCCTGGGATCTGGTTACATCCTTGAAACCCGTGCAGCACCCCGAAATAAAGGACCCATCCCCTACCCACGTGCGCAACAGGCGGTGAGCCCCGACAAAGCTCACGACGGCGGCCCCAGTTCGGCTCCAGGCGTTATCTGCTGTTTTTTAATGTTACAAATACGTGCATTGCTTCCGATAACGGGTTTCACTTCGGCCTGTGGAGATACTGCGAAACGAGGGGACGCTAAAGTGGGGGCTTCGTTCGTTTCGTTTGGAAAGAAAACGCGACTTTTTAAAAAGAAATCTGACGCAGACGGTAACAGTAACGTGTTCCGCATCCGCCCGGCGGGCGCCGCTGCGCTCGGTGGAAACTTCCAGCCTCTCGTGCACCGGCCTCCTCCTCCTCCTCCTCTCCCCCCCCCACCCCGAGTTGCGGGCGTGTCGCGTGAGCCCCGCAGGAGCCAATCAGGCGCGAGCTCTCTTCCTGATAGCGCTGCCCTGCGCGAGCCCTGCTTCTCTCCGTCTGCCAGCCAGCGCGAGCCCCTGTCCTTCTCCTTCTCCTTCACCGCCGCACAGTCAGGTAAGAGCGGCTCAGCACCACGTATAAAGCCTTTAGCCCAGTTTAATCATGAGCGGGCCCCGTTTTGTAAGCTCTGTTTTATTCGTTTCTGGGGTGTGTGTGTGTGGGGGGGGGTTCCCCATCTCGTGCGCTTCCTATGCACGCGTCGTCTTTAATATTTTTGATTTCCCGAAAGTTCCGAATTAATTCACATGCTGTGACCTGAATCAGCGTCTCTCTCTACACCCTGCTTTCCCCTGGAAAGCTCCGGGAGATAAGCGGGTGTCGAGACGCTATGGGGCTGCAGCTAATTAATAGGGGGCCCGGGAGAACATTGTGTCAGAGAGGAAGTTTTGTCATTTTAGTTGGAAGGTTTTAATCGCCCATTTTAGGCGATTTCTCTTTAAACCTGTTAATTATCTTAAAGGTTTTGCCCATCTGGGGGGCGGAGCGTGAAGGGTTCGCTCGGTGCACCGCCGGGGGGTGTAATTCAATTAGGGGTATCGGGTTCAAGTTCAGCCCCAGCGGAGAGCGTCATATCGGGGCTGCCGGCGGTTTGAAACGGGTCTGTCGCTAAGCGGTCGCCGTTTCCTCTCTTGACAAAGCCGTATAGAAATGCTGAGATCATTCTGTTACAAGACCAACGTTTGATATCATTGTGCAATTTTCCTGTCGTTCTGAACTCTGCTCTGTAGCTCGTAGTTCCTGGTTAACTGTATCTCGGGAGTAAAACGCTTCTCAAGCGGGTCTTTAATCCCAGGGACATCCATGTTGTCCGTGTCGGAACTTTAAATAGACTGGCTTTTTTTCTGCTTCCTGGGAAACGCCAGTCTGTCTGTAGCGTTTTTTTTACGTGAGTTTTTTTAATGCGTTTAAAACGTAACTTTCATCTCCTCCTCCTGTTAATTTTTTTAAATTGTTGTTGGGGGGTTTTTTCCTAAAAAAAAGACCACTTCTGGAGGTGGGGAGGGAAAGAGACGAGATCCCGGTTTAGAGACGCAGAAACACTATAATTGGAGCGAATATAAGACTCGAGGCCTTCCGGGCTGCCTCGCTTAACACACCCGGCTGGAGGGGACGGGCGACGCTTTCTGATTTATTGAACAAGCCGAGTATTTCCAGCTCCCAGGACACGACCTTTGGAGGCAACGCCGCTTTCGGAGGTAGCGGTTCCAATGTCAATCGTGTTTTCGGGGTTTTGGGGTCACCCTCAACACCCACGTCCTCCCCGAGGCGCTGCGAGCGCCGCACCTGTGCGGAGTCCCCGGCACCACCCGGGAGGGTGGGGGTGGAAAAAACACGACATCGTGCGTGTCTGAGAGGAAAAAAAGGGGTGTCGAGTGGACTTTTCGGGGTGACCCCGAAACCCAGATCGACATTGAAAACCACGTTGCCTCCAGAGGCAGTGTGCCAGGAACTGGAAATGCTCGGCGCGTTCAGTAAATGGGGACACGTCCCTCCCGCCCACTCAGGTCTCTAGCGGTCTGATTCCTCAATGTGAAGCAGAAACCACGTTTCTTGCGGTGAAAGGGCTGTCCTCTCAGCCACTCAGACTGCTTTCCACCAGCACCGTTTGGGAGACCCCAGTAGTTTTATTTTCATTAACATCACGGGACCCCGGTCTGTGTCCCTCAGTTCTTGCGACCCCCCGGTTGTTTGCGAATTGGGGTATGTGAAAAGACAGTGCAAGAAATGGGCTCATAAAGTGATCTTATCTTATCTATGAGCAGGACTGCTCACTACTGGAGAGCACTGGAATGGCTGCATATTGAGTAGGGGGGATCTCCCATCCTGGTCCAGGAAAGCTGTAGGACCTTCTGGTAATTGGCTAAGTTGAAGTGAAGCTAAGTGTTGATATAACAAGCTTCAACCCTAACCACTAGTTATAAATGCCTATAAAACCCAAAGGACAGAGGGTGCACCTGAAAATGTGCTTTGGGGGTTATGACTCTGTTAGTACTGGCCATGATTAATGCTCTTTCCTGTGAAATTGCAGATGTCTGATTCATGCAGCGCAATTGGCGTTTAAGGAAATAAGTCACTTGGTCCTGGAAATACGTTTTTCGATAGCACGGGCGGCCTGTTGCCGAGGCTGCGAGTCCTTACATACAGGCCTCTCAGGCTGTCCGCATTGGTGAGGAATATTGAAGTCTGGGCTGTGAAGGAAAGCCCATTGCAGACAGCGTAATGTTGACACGGAGACCTGCACTGGCCGTGGGTACAGATCAGGGTACAAAAGATAAGCTTCTTGTAGGCTTCTAACTCAAAAACTAGATTTACTATGCAACAGCTTATTTTTTTGTTCTTTACTCGGAAGTGCATTTCTTAGCCATCCTGATGCAGTTTGATCAGTTTAACAGTCTCTCTTCCTGGCTGTTTCCTCCGAGAGCAGAGACCCCTGTCCTACAGCTTTGTAACCAAGAGCACCTTGGCTAGAATAGACTCGCTGTGAATAGCAAGTTTGTTTGTTTTTAACCCCGGCTGGCCAAAAGCTGAACTCGACTAAAAGCCTGTGGCTCCATTCAAACAGCCGTCCCACTCGATCGTGTGGACGAGGGAAGGACAGCACGGGTCTGCTAGCTCCTAGGGACAGCCGGGGGCAGTTTTCCAGTGGTCCATCTCCATCGCGCAGACATTAATGGATCGAGAGGGAGTGCTGCGCAGGGCATCTCGCTAAAAGTCTAAGTAGGCTTTTATTGGTTCGGTGCGCCTCACTTGACATCTGAGCACTGACTCATTCTGTGAGCTTGAAAGGTACTAGCCCACGAAGCCTAAACTAAATCGGTATCTTTACCAATAAACACTTTAGTCTCCCTGGCCCCTAGTGCCTTAAGGTTAAAGGGCCCCAGTTTTGATGCCTGATGTGTTGCTGTAGGGACTAAGCTGAGGTGTCTCATTTGGCAAAGTTAGACTCATTTTCAGATGCAGTGTTGAGGGTGTCCTGTTGCCCTTGGATCAGGACAGTTTAGTTTTAAACAACAATAGAATGAAAAGGATGATTGATTAGTGCATCGATAAGATGATTTATAGCACATTGGCGATCTGATCTAGGCTTTACCGCTGTTCTGGAAATAGGCTGCTGGCCACCTGTTACCAGGTTGTACACTGACAGACGGCTGACGTGGAGAAGGTCCGTCTGAAGACATCTAAAACTGGACGCTGAACCCAGTTCTTGAAAAACGCAAATCGGGATCAATTGTTGAGCTGAGGCTGTGTCTTTGAGGCTCTCTATAGACGATAATCCTTGAAAGTTGGGATGTAGCAGTGTAGTTTTTGATTGTAAACGAATTGCAACAGTTTTTGTTTTATGCACAATGAGTTTGCAAAACACCTGAGCGCTTAAGAGCGTCGTCTCCACCGCGTTCCACCGCTCGGCCCGTTGGGGCAGAAGAGACGTCTGTCCGGGTGCTGGTGCTGGTCGGGCCGTGCCGTGGAGCGCTGGGAGGGAACGCGCTGGTGTGCTGGGGGAGGGGGTGTCTCTGCGGTCTCCCCAGCGCGGACTGGGGAGAACCTGCCGAGCGAGGGCCCAAGGCAGGGCTGCTCTTTCCAGAGCAAGGCTGCTGCCAGAGCTTCTGTAGGAATACAGGATGGGTGAAGACCCAGCTGCCCGCCGAGGAGAGGAAGACCTGCACAGCCATGGGGAGAACCGGGGGCAGACCCCCCCTCTGGCTCCAGGTGGATCTGTGCTCCTTCTCGGAGCACAAAGGTTTTTTTTTTAAGTTGTCTCGTGGCTCGTTCGGTTGTTCTTCCGAAGGCAGGTAGCCCTTATGCGATGCCCCTTTCCCCCGGGAGGGGGCCGTGGGGAAACTCGCTCGGAGGTTTCGCTGCCCCCTGGTCTTGTTTGTTGCATGAGCTTGTTTTAAACCGGGGGCAGCAGCGTGGTCAGGGGGCGCCCCACCAGGCAGATCGGTTTGGTCACCGGCGTTTGTCCCCCCCCCCCCCCTCTTTCGTTCCAGAGCCGCCATCATGTCCATCCTGAAGATCCACGCCCGTGAGATTTTTGACTCCCGTGGAAACCCCACTGTGGAAGTGGACCTCTACACTAAGAAAGGTAAAATGAATGGGGAGGGGGCAGGAGTTGACATAATTATCATGAGAGAGAGAGATAAGGAGGCATGTTTCGTGAGTTTGTGTGGAAGAGCCGCAGGTCAGGTCCTGCTTGGCTTAACCCTGAGCCCTTATCAGCGTCATGAGGGATCGGTTCCAAGTGCCGTGTCAGGTCCACTGGTAGGAAATGAAGAATCCTCTTCGCAGTAATGGACTCAAGTTTGTAAATAATCACAGGTTCTAGATTCTGGTATGGGAGACGAATTAAGCAGATTCATGCAGAACCCCATCTCCTTATGCCTTTAGTGTCATTTTCCTGAAATATTCTGCTGAGGCACAGGTATGAGCTTTAGCAGGGGAAGAAAATACAGGGTTCAAGCCTTCGGTCATGCCTGGGAGTTTCGTGAATCAAGGATTGACGATGCTGTTAGTCTGCCGTTCGAAGGGATGGTATTTCTTCCATTTGAGAGCCAAAGAGCTGGTCTGTTGAAACTCTCCTTTCAGGCCTCTCGTATAAAGTACAGTACAGTAGAGTGGAAATGAGGGATCAGGTTGTTGGTGTATAAAAATAGTCTGTAACGTTACACTCCTCGGACTGCGGCGAGACTCTTCAGTGACTCACTCGTGGAGGGGCTAAATCCGAATAGATCATTTCTGAAGAGGAGCCAGCTACCTCTCCAGGGAGGGTTCGGGGAGGGGACAGTGAGTCAGCCGGCGAGCCAGGAGAAGCAGCAGAGAGAGGAAAGGCTTTGCTTGTCCGTGGAAATCTTGGGGGGGGGATCGTCTGCGAGCCGAGCTGCGAGTTGCTGGAAGTCACGTATCGGGCGTGCTCCGTTCTCGCACGCGGCTGTCTACACACCCCAGATGTCCACACGTCTGCCAGGCAGGCTGTGGCAGCGGGCGAGAAGAGCCATGCAGGTAGTAGCCCACCTGAAGCAGGAGCGTGACTCGTCAGACCCTGCATACCTACTGCATCAGAGGGGAACCCCCCCCCTCCTCTCCAGACGCTGCTTAGAATGGCTTCATACTCCTTCTGTTAGCACTTGTACGTGCTTGGCAAGCGTCGTCATCCGTGATGCAAGAGCAACTAGGAATTTGACATTACTGCCGCACAAAACCGAAACGTAATCTGAAGGATTCTGCCAGCTTCTGCGTGTGGATCTGCTCTGTGAAACGCAGATGAATTTTTTTTGTTTTTCAAGGCATTCAAGAACAATGCCGGTTTTGAAAGGCAGACATTCCCATCTGGAGAGCTTTGCTGGTGGAAGTAATCCTTTAAAGCTTAGCCCCGCTGTTTTAAATCCCTCATGAATCCCCGTTGAAGCTGCTGTGTCGCATCAATTCAGTGACCTGACATCACGCAGCAATGTGCTCTCGGGCAGCTGAGCACCCTGAAAGGAAGTAAAAACCACCGCTGTCGCGCGGGATAGCAGATTCGTGGGCGTGTTTGTCTCTGCAGGGCTTGAGAGAGCCGTAAGAAAAGAGCTCCCGCTTCCCGAGTGAGGTGTTTTCCCCGTTATTCCCGCAGCGGGCCTTGCGGAATGCTGGGCGTTGGATCTGCCTCCTGCCGACATCACAGTCGGCCCCGCTGTCGCTCTGGACCTGGGGCACGGCTGTTCCTCCGGGAACAGCTGGGAAAGCAATTGCAGCCCAGCTCGGGCATCTCGTCTCCACGGCGACCAGGCTCTGTGCTGTCAGCCAAGATGCTCCTCGACAGCTGCACCTCTCATCTTATTGGGTGCTCGTTCTCCTCGGCCGGGGGTCGGGGGAGCCGTGGGGTTTCAGCCGACAAGCTCGGTTTAGGTCACAGAGGGCTGGCGCTTGGTTCCACGTCTCTGGCTCACATCTCGGTGTGCTGGTGGAAGTGGGGACAGCGTGCCGCTGGGGTTCTTTAAATTGCGGGTGATTCTTCGACTGGCGATCCTAAGGATCTGTGCAATCGAATCGTCACGGGCAGCCCGTGAGCAAGATCGCCCGAGTTCAGTTTCCTGCGGTTGTGCGTGGCGCCCGCCGTGAAATATCCAGACCGGCGCCCTCCCGTTGAAAGGTAATTTCGGGTCATGTCTCTCCCCACCTCTGGCCCTTCATTGCCCCCTTGTGTTGGTCGTCCTCAGGTCTCTTCCGAGCCGCCGTGCCCAGCGGAGCCTCTACTGGGATCTATGAAGCTCTGGAGCTGCGCGACAACGACAAGACTCGCTACTTGGGAAAGGGTGCGTTGGGGGAGAGGACGGGGAGGGGGAGGGGGGGAGCCCCAAAACGCTGTTTCTCTTCGTCCTCTGCGGGACGGAGCTACAAGACTGTTGTCTTTTGTGTAGAAAAGGGGACACTTTGTCTCCAGCGCCACCATTTGTCTTGCTAGCTCAGCAGATGAGAAATGAAGTGCTTTGCATCCTCCTGTAGTTCTGAAAACCCGGTTGAGCGCAGGACGGAACGTCATGGCCTAGACGTCGTGATGCAGCAGAGCTGTGAGGAGAATCGAGCCTCTTTTGTAGGCCTTCCAGTAAAATCACTCAGCTGAGCTTTTCTGCCAAATCCCTAATTTAAGCTTCTAATTCAGTGATCTCTTTTGTGAATGGCTTATGCAGTGTTGTGACATCAGTCAGCCAAGGCTTTTCTGCACTGTAATGAGGAAACACAGACGTTTGTCACCAGTAGGTTTTTCAGGACGCACCTCATCTCGAATCGCTGTACAAAAGCTTGTTTTCTGGCTGGGTGGGGAGCGTTTTTCTCTCATTTCCTGTAACTTTGCTCTCCTACTCTGCTTGCTCTGTGCGTCCTTCATCTTTTTTTTTCCCTTCTGTCAGGGGTGGGCAGAGCCGTTAAATATGTTAATGATTTCTTGGGACCAGCTTTGTGTAATCAGGTAATTAAAGTGTGTGGTGTTGTGGGTGAGGGGGGGGGCAGGGGTTGGCTGGATTACAGTAATTCACAAAAGCATGCAAAGGGACTGTGCTCTGACCACTAACCTTAACGCAGGCAGTCTTAGACGATCACGTTTTCAATCATTCGTCTTCACCTATATCATTTTCGTGAATCAACGTCATCACTCCTCTACCCCATGCATCTCCATATTTTGTTTTGTAATGCATCAGAATGATTAACATTAAGGAAGGAGACGGAGGGGGGTGGCGAGGGCGTGCGGTGATCGTCTAGTCTTGCCTGCTGCGCATGGGTGTGTCGTCTGTTTTGGGGATCAGTGATGGATTTGCTTGTTCCTTGCAGGTGTCTCAAAAGCTGTTGAGCATATCAATAAAACAATTGCACCTGCACTGATTAGCAAGGTAGGAACATTTATTGTTTGAACTAACATTTTCTTTTAACCATGCAATGATGAAGGTTATGGCAACACCTCTTGCAAGGCAGAGCATATGTTTTTTTTGTTTAGTATCTTTATGAGCAAGTGGTTTTCCGCAGACTGAGGTGGTCTCTGAGTGAGCTAGTCTGCTAGGAACAAAGAAATCTTTAAGGGCACGGTTTTGGGATTTTAACAGTTTAATCAGTGGTGCATAAAAGTAACAACTTAAAGCACAATGATGGATTTGTTTTCTAACCAGCATGCTGAATGTCTCGGTTCATGTTGATTCCAAATTGGCCTGGTTTCTGAGATCAAGGCCTTGTCAAAGCTTATTGTGACCCCTGATTTTAAATGAATGCAGGTGGTGAACTGAGACATTGTGCAGGTGAGCCACAGCAATAATGGATCTCTGTGCTGTATTCAGCCTGCTCTGAGCTGGAACTGGATAAGTACAAAGCAATACTGACGGTCTGCGTGATCAATTATCTTAACACTTAATCTCACTGCATGATCAGATGTTTTGGATATGCTTCTGGGCAGCTGTTAAAAGTACCCAATAAGAACCATTTTCTTCAAATCCTAATCCATTTCTGGCTATCAGTTTAATTAGTTGAGTAAGGGTGAGAGTTAAGAGGTGTTTATTTCCTTTATATCTCTTTTGGGTTTTATCCTTTGAAATGTTAAGTGTGTCAGAAAACCGGTTGTACAGAAGACACTGAAGGAGGAGGATCTTCTTAAAGAGGGCTCTCGTCCTCCCGAGTTTAAGAAAAGCTGAAACATTTTGCACTAAAATAAAAGTAGACGCTTAGAAAACCAGCCTGGGCACAGAGGCCGGTTCGCTCTCACACAAGACGCGCCGGAGGGGTTTCGTGTCGCTGCTTCGCTTCAGCCTCGTCCGTTTCTCCCCCAGAATGTGTCCGTCACCGAGCAAGAGAAGATCGACAAGCTGATGTTGGAGATGGACGGCACTGAAAACAAATGTGAGTTTTAGTGTCTGTGTGTGTGTGTCTGTGTGTGTGTCTCTGTCTGTGTCAAGAAATCCTCAGAATGAATCAGAGCAGTGACTGGGGGGAACCAGAACGACCCCTAGCCTTGGAAAGGTTGTGAATCTGAATGCGCGTGAAGTTTTCAGCGCCCTTAAACAGTGAAGAGGGAACCCTTCGTGCCCGACGATGAAAGCCTTGCTCATTTCAGTGACTTTCTTTTCTTTCCTTTCCTCTTGCCCACATCGCAGCCAAGTTCGGCGCCAACGCCATCCTCGGCGTGTCTCTGGCGGTGTGCAAGGCCGGCGCCGCCGAGAAGGAGGTGCCCCTGTACCGCCACATCGCCGACCTGGCCGGGAACCCCGAGGTCATCCTCCCAGTCCCCGTGAGTGCGCGGCGGAGAGGCCTGGCGCCGACGTGCACTGCTCGAGATGTTGCCCACTGCGCCCCTTAGCGGGCTTGCACCCCTGGGAGCTTCTCGGCAGCAGTTGGCTGTTTTTTCGGCGGGGGTCGTTTTTGCTCACGTGACGTTCCCTGTGCGCCATTGTCCGTTGGTAACTGAAAGGGGCGCACGCCTCCTCAGTGACGCGTTTTCTTAAACTGCATGAAGACTTCTTGCAGAACATTTGCAGGGAGCGGGGGGGGGGG